AGTTGCCTCAGCTACTGTATGGCAGATGTTCAATCTCCTGTCTGTAGGCCGTCTCATCAGTGTCTCGGATGAGACTGATAGGAACTTTAAGAGTTTAATGGGGGGGTGGGGTCTTCTGAGGTGCAGTCACTGGTGTAGAGGGAGAACAGCAGCAGGGAGAGAACACATCCCTGGGGGGATACCTGTACTAACTGATAACTGAGAGCCGCCAGCGTCGCTGTAACAGGATCCTCATTCCGACAGAAAGATTCTGTGTAAACATCACGTGTTTTGTCAACTGCCAGTTCACTATTGATTCAAATTTTAATTTTCTTGTTTTAAGGGAAGTTTGTACTTTTTATACAAATGTGCAGCATTAGTCTTTTTAAAAGTAGTGTATGTTCATGTCATAGTACTAAAAACAGCTAAAATCTGTGCATGGTTATGACCGCAGAAGAAGGATTCAAGATTATGGATCATTTATACATTTTATAATATATTGCCTATTTGTGTAAGTCAGACTCTCCAGGTTCAGTGTACATGTTTAATGTCCAAGTGTGAACGTCCTGCTGTAGGCTGTCATGAGTCATGAACTTCTGGCAATGTAATTATTCATGACAAGTAACACCTACCATGTGTGGGTGGGAGCAAAGCCAGTCATTTTGACATGTTTGAACAAACAAGCACTCTAAGTTTTCCCACTAGGGAGTTCATGATTTCTATATCAAACGCGGTTTAGTTAGTTCCTTTCGATGATGCTATGAGTATGAGGCTTTTTACAGTGAAATGTTTATATTGTAAATCAAAGTCTACGTGTTGTCTGCTGTAACAGATTGACTGTAGTTTACTTACAGCACAGTAGTGCGCTGCCCACCAGAGAATTAGACAGGAATTTAGGTAATCTTTGCCTTCACAATAAAGTTCGGTTTTATGAATGTTAAAAATATAGGCCTAGTTGTAAAAAAAAAAAAAAAAAAAAAAAAAAAAAAAAAAAAACTACCAAAAAACAAAACAAAATAAACATGTTTACAGAATAGTTTTACCTGATTAGATGATGGAGTTATTCCCCCCAATACGGTATACACTATATTCATTATGAATCGATATCAATCAAGGCAAAACGTGGCTCAAATACAAAACAAAACCAAAACACAGTAAGCATCCTCAGTGGTGGAAAATAGGCCTAAGTATATTTACTCAAATACTGTAGGCTATCTGTAGCCTACTTCACATGAATGTTTTAATTTTCTGCTACTTCATACATTACTTCATACTTTACATTTAAAGGCAAATATTTTAGTTTTTACTTTACTACATTTATTGATAACCTATTTATTTTTGAGAATAAGGTTAACTATACAAAATACAGTATAATCACAAGTCCTTATTGATACCTGATGGGAAATGCATAAGCTACCCAGCAGTAATTCGAATTAGGCCTATAAACAAATAAACTTATGGTAGTTAATTATTAGGTCCACCTTTACCAGCTGCAACATTAAATTTGATGTACATAATAAAGCAACCATCATTATAATCCAATATGTGAATTGGGTGATAATGAGTAGGTTTTTGTAGTTTAAATATTTTTGTGCTAATAATTTTGTAGCCTAGAAACATTTTGAATGCAGGACATTTACTTGCAACTGAGTATTTTTACACTTGCTATTTTTGCTTAAGTAAACAGTGTAAATACTTCTTCCACCATTGTGCATTTGGGAAATGCTACTTAATCATTAGTTTCCACCTTTTATATAACCTACAATCAGTGGTTTCCACTCCCACGCAGTTCGCGTCTAGGGGCCATTATTTTGAAAGCCCATACCGGAAATCAGAAGTAGGCTATATTTGTACGTGGGACGTGTTTTGCTTTACCTTCTGAGCAAGTGACAGACACACAGGAGGAGGTAGGAGAAGTTTTCTAGCTTCGCATTCTCCTCTTCATCATGGAGGCTCAGGCACATTTCACCCGTGAGGAAATCAACAACACGGTGTGGGAAGTACCGGAGAAATACACACGGCTCAGGCAGATAGGGACCGGGGCGTACGGCTCGGTGTGGTGAGTAGCATTTACTGAACGCTGCATACGGTGTGTGTCATAGGTGGGACTGGACTGTGTGTAAATATTGTTCAATGTGAGCCCTGCACACAGTAACGTTAGCTATAGTGGCTGGATGCAGCCCGCCGGGGGCCTGGGTTGTATCTTGGAACACCAACTGTCAGCAGGGATGATACAGTAGTAATTGATATCATTTAACATGGTGTTAGACCTGACAACTTATAATACATCCCAGCAGCATGTGCCATGCACGAAGACTACATTTTTCATAGCACCTAGGGTAAGATGGAGGAGGATGCCACCCTACACAACATTGTCAGCTGGATGTTTGTATGTGAAATCACTATATATGTATCTATATGGACAGATATTGAGAAAATGGGGCCCTGGGCACAGCCAGATGTAAGGGCCCACCATCCCCTGGACCTTCAGTCCTTTTGTTTGGGTTTCTACTTGCTCTGGGTCTCTTTTTGTTAATTTTGCATCTCTTTGTGATTGTTTTGTCTCTTTTAGGTAGTTTTGTATTTCATTTTGATAGCTCTGTCTGTGTTGTCTCTGTCTCCTTATGCTTATTTTTGTCTCAGGGTCTTGTTCTTGATAATGAGGAACAGTGTGTTTTGTTGATGTGCTTTTAATCGTTTTTGAACAACAATGAAAGTCTATGGCACAAAAGAATAAGATTGACAGGCATTAATCGTGAGTAGAGGCAATTCATTGTCTTGGTGTAGTCTCTTTCTTTATTAGGTCACCTACAGTATCAGCTTTGATTTTTATTACTGACTTTATTTATAGATCACTTGTTTGTGTGCACTGACCAATCGTGCAAAGTAGGTAAAAAAAATTCTGAGAACCTCTGTAAGGAGTAAGATGCCTTTCCCCCCCAAAAAGTTAAAATGGTGTCAAATCTGTCATAGTGAACTTTGGTGCATCTGTCATCAGAGCTGCAGATATTGGCCTGCTGACCAGGGTTTTAAGACTTACAGTGTGGGAGCTGTGGTCTGTTAAATCTGCCCTTTAAAAGAAGCACCATCTGAGGAACTGGGATCACACCACCACTATTTTATCAAATTTTGGGAAATCGCTCATAAACTGTCTTGTAGCAGTCACGGTGCTACTGTATGTGTGAGGTGTATTTACTGTAGATGTATGTCTGGTATGAATCAGCTGCTGTGTGTAAAATTGGCTGTGATATTAGCCCACAACACTATGCGCAAGCAATGTGTGTTGGTGGATGTAGCTCCAAATAGCTTAACAAGCCTCTCCTCCTACGAATCTGTGCCCTGCAGATCATTGCAAACATGCACATCATGTGTTAGGTTTACGTGCTGAAACTCGGTAAACCACAGAGCCCCTCTGAGTTAGAGAATGAGTCCCAAGTACAGTACCTCCCTCTCCTTCCTCTGTCATTGTTCCACTGCTCAGACCTCCAAAGAGTGGAATCTAGAAGAGACCTGCGGACTCAGAGAGCAAAGCTAATGGCTCCTTATCCCATTATTCACTACAGCTCAGCAATAAATGAGAAGAATAAAGAGAAAGTGGCCATCAAGAAGCTTCACAGGCCCTTCCAGTCAGAGATCTTTGCTAAGAGGGCCTACCGAGAGCTCCGACTGCTCAAACACATGAAGCATGAAAATGTGAGTAGCCAACCTATTTCTTGCTTCTTTTAACAAGCTGTAGGTTTTACATATATATGACCTTTTAATAGCACAACCATTGTGCACTTTAGATATAATAATAACCCTTTTTCACATTTGACATTTTGACATGTCATAGTAGGAAAAGCACAGGTATAATTGATAATACTCACAGTGGCTGCACTCCAGGATCATGGTATTCTGCGTGCTTGCTGAGTGGCATTGTTTAGTGGGACACTTTATGGAACTCAGCTATTGTTAATGCTCTTAGCTACATCTGTGCTTTTTCTACAGTGAAAAAGGTCTGTATGCAATAAATACATCAGCGCCTCATGTCTGCTCCAATATCTCCATATCTGTCACCTTGCTCTTTCATTCCAACCAGGTGATAGGACTTCTTGATGTGTTTACACCTGCATCAGGCCTCAGTGATTTCCAGGACTTGTGAGTTGTTTTTCATTGTATTAATTAACCCCTCAGGCAGAGGCAGGCAACACCTCTGATGATCTGTAGGTTTAGTTTTCACCTGCTGAAATGCACACAGTACTGTAGAATCTTTGGGAACATCCATAGTTTATTTCTTTCTGATAAACAGTTGGTCAGTCTCCAGAGTGATGAGAGAAATTGTATTTGGCCTCTTCTCACTTCTCTGATGGGAACATACCAGGTCTGGTATGCATTCTATACAATCCAAAGCCTTTCAAGACTTGGGTCTGGAATAAGATGGAAAATATATGAATAGTGTCACCATTCTGACAACCATGTCTCTATAGGCCTGGGTTTTTGCCTTGCCCAACCTGTCGCCTCAAAGGTGAAAGCCTTCTGTTGTCTAAAAATATCACTGTATGCTATAGATTTAAGAGTTTCCTTAACTGGAACTAAGGGGGTCCAAAAACCCAAACATGAAACAATGAATAACAGCCTAGTGGTGTCAACATACTTTGGGCCACACAGCATATGCTTTTGTGAAATAATTTGCTGCAGAGTGACAAACTACATAAGGGTGAGTCACTCTATGCAGAGACCACAATCTACCAAACAGTCAAGAACATAAGGCCACGATCAAGGAATTCAAAGGTGGATAAAAATCTAATAAGTTGACTGAACTGCCAGTTTAGAATGAAGAAGAATGCCGATGAAGAATGTTTATATTGAGGGTTATATAAACATACATAAGTACCCTAAGCTTCTTAATGTAAGCATGAAAAGACATGAATTACAACATCATCAGGGTGTGGAAATTAACAGTGGGGCAACTTGTTGTGGCAAAGGAAAGCTTCTTCTTGTGCATCAGCTGTGGTCTTGACTGCATAAATTAAAGAGTGTCATATCTGGACTGTTCCTCAGAGCTGGTCATCTTACTGTTTGTCTTCTCACGCTGCCTCTCTCCCTCTCTTTGTCGCAGCTACCTGGTAATGCCTTACCTGTTTACAGACCTGTCAAAGGTGCGAGGACATCTTTCAGAAGACAAAGTCCAGTTTCTCGTCTACCAGATGCTTTGTGGACTCCGGGTGAGCAGGGGAAACCCACCTTTCAGAATGGTTGAATTTTTATCGCATTGAGTATCATAAGAACATTTAAAACACCAGTGAATATGTCTCAAGGTAGTCTTATAACACAGATGCGTTGGCGAATTCAACCTTTTGTGCCTTGTAAGTACGTTGTAAGACGAACTCAGTGCATTCTGTATTATAATTATAGTCTGGTATATGCTGTAATTATAATAGGTTATTTGGAGAAAGGAACAAAGCAAAGATCAGTGCACTTTGTGGAAATACAGTATAATAGATTCTTTGCTGTATGTTGTATGGCAATAAAGTATTTCCAAGTATAACTACTCAAAACTTTATTTTGAGTTAACTGTTACACCTTACAGTATCTTGTCAGGCATTTACTTTGGAGAGTTCATAGTATAAACAGGCAGACTAATAAAAGTAGATAACATTCAAAATTACATAAATACATGCAGTATACTACACACCATAACTAGTATATATTTGGATATGACTGCAATATGAATGTCTATTTGTTTTATCTCCATTTCCCTCAGTACATTCACAAGGCTGGAATCATCCACAGGGTAAGTACAAGTGGACGTGGTTTGTTTTGGGTCCGTTTTCCAGTCAGTGATAAATGTAGCTTTACAGGGCGTCAATAAGAAATTGTAATGTGTGCCGTTGTTTGTAGTGTACACTGTTCTGGCTCAGATTACAGACATGCACTTCTTCCTGTGCTACAGAAGTACACGTGAAATTTGATTTAGTTTGTTTTAGAATCAAGTCAAACCCTGCCTCAACAGGTAGGATGAGTTGACTCCTACTGATGTCATCACTGCATGTTGAGACATTTTAGGTCACACCCAGTGCCACTACCTGTGGGTGTGTATGTGGAATAGGGAAAGTACAGTTTGACCAATACCATACTTACTCTATGCTGTATATTAGATATTGGTTTGCTATCTAAGGGCCTTTCTGTGCATCACTAATACAGACTAATATTGTAAAAAAAATAAATAAGACAAAGCATTGTTTTAAATTTGTGCCAGTGTTTCAAGATATAGTTTAATATATACAGGAGAAAATCTGTGAAAATATAAAATGATGTTTAAGTTTGTAGTGGATGCAAGAAAATAGTAGATTTACAAGAAAGATTTGTCCTTACCATTTACTCGGGAGTGTAGCTTTCTTACATGAGAGGTGAAACGTCTTCGACCTAAAAAAAAAGTCTAGTTGATTATTTTTCAGCTTACTATGACCTGGATGACTGAGAATCTGCACGGACATGTTTCTTACGTATTGTAACCCTGAAAATATTTATCAGTTATGCAAATTATTAATTAAGCTGTTACCGCATGGTGGTTAGAATCTAAACATTTATTAGAGTGCAGTTAATGTGTGTGCAGTTGTGTGTTCAGACACAGTGCAGAACACACGGCCCTGCGCAATGTGATTCAGTCCTCTGTCAGTGTTACCCTGCTATTACTGTAGTAATTTCTAAAACAGTGAAGGTGTTATCAACACTCACTAACAGTCCAACACTTATCACACACATTATGTCTCAGTATTTTATGAATGGCTCTCCAGAAATGCCACAGTGAGAGTAGTGGTTGCATATTTGAGACACACCATTGAATCCCTTTTTGAGATCCTCAGAATATTAATGTCCTGAGACAAACTGCTGAGCCATGTCAGGCCACGGGGGCTAAAAGCACTAATGTTCTACCCAGTCCCAGTTTTGATTTGCCCAGTACAAACACTCTCTATTTTTCTGCTAACTTAAGTTTTCTGTCAGCGCAATAAGGAATTATCACTCATGTCATTTTCTTTTACAGGATCTTAAGCCTGGAAACTTGGCTGTAAACCAAGAGTGTGAACTGAAGGTTTGTACTTCCCAAGATTCCACTAGAAAAACATGACAAGACTGAAATGAAATATGGAGACGCTGAACAACATTATCATGAATCGGACGTTGACTTTGACCCTGAAAAAAACTTTTTTAAGAACTCTGAAAATAACTGCAAGTATTACACAGATGAGCAGTTTAACAGCAATGTTAAGACTGAAAACAAATTATCATTAATTCACTTTAATAGCAGAAGTTTATACGCAAACTTTCAGAGTATAAAACATTATCTTAGTAGTCTTACACATTCTTTTAATATAATTGCTATTTCTGAAACTTGGATGAATAATGTAAGGGGAATGGATTTTGACCTTGATGGCTATGACTTGGTATG